AATCAGGCTGTGGTAGTGGCTGCGCCTGCGCGGTCGGCGGCTCTGAGACCCCCCCCCTCCTCCGCCCCCAGCCGTGTGGCAGGGCGCTTTGGAAAGGGGCACGAAGAACGAGGAGTGCTGTGGCACCTTAGGGCATGTCAGCCTTAGGGAATGAACCCAAAGCAGCCTGGCTCTCCGAGCCTCCAGGGAGGGCTGGGCTGGGTAGCCCAGGCACTCCACGAGGTAGTCTGCACTGCAACACTATTTCAGGATATCAGGCTACGTCTAGACTGGCACGATTTTCCAGAAATGCTTTTAACGGAAAAGTTTTCCGTTAAAAGCATTTGCGGAAAAGAGCGTAGGGGCCCCCTATTTCGAAACAAGTGTCTACACAGCACTTATTTCAAATTAGCTATTTCAAATTTGGCGTTATTCCTCATAGAATGAGGTTTACCAAATTCAAAATAAGCTGTTATTTCAAAATAACCTTGCTGTGTAGACATACCCACCCTTACTCAGGAATAACCAAGGGTAATAAGGCCTTACAACAGGGGTCTCAAACTCCAGGCCCATGGACCAGTCCCAGCCAGAGCATTTCCATAGTCCAGCCCAGAACTCTTGAGCTACGTCTACAGTGCAATGCTATTTTGGGATACTAGAGTATCCCCAAATAGCTATCCCACATTGTCACAGCAAGCCCCTTATTTCAGGCTCACTATTCCAACATCCCTGTAAACCTCATTCTACAAGGAGTAAGGGACGTTTTGGAATACAGTGAACCCTCGCTACTTCGCGGTTCGACCATCGCGGATTCACGACTTCGCGGACTTTTTTCATTACATTATGTATATACGGGAATCCGCGATGGTCGAACCGCGAAGTAGCGAGGGCTCGCTGTATACATGTTAAATATACATGTCCCTACTTCGCGGATTTTCAACTATCGCGGTCGGGTTTGGAACCTATCTACCGCGATAAACGAGGGTTCACTGTAGTGCTTTATTTCAAAGTTTGGTGCTGTGTAGACAGCACCAAATGACAAAATAAGCTATTTTGAAGTAGCATTGAAATAAGATACACAATTGTTCTTAATCTAATAGTAAATGTTTTTTGTGGGAAAACAGGAATATTTTCTGCATCTTCGCCTTTAACTTAACAGGGGTGTCAAGAACTGTTTATTTGACAAAAGTTAAAATAAAATAACAGCTGTTGACTATCACTTCAGTAAGAAGTTTTGTACTATGACTAACACTGTCCACTTTTAATTAAGTTGTCTAAACTCAGTGGAGGGTTTTTTATTCATGCAAATCCCTAGATTTTTGGAGCCGAGAATAAGGCCTCTCACCTTCCATTTTTCTATACCCATGCATAAACAAAATAGTGGTTTTATATATACAGGAATTGGTGGCAAAGATTTTACACCCACAGATAAGAGGGCTGTCTTTAATCAGAAAGGTTTGCAACCTTTAATTTGCACACACATATCATCATTTTGACATAAAAACTCTGTGTATTTAGCTTCCATTCATTTTGGTAAATGTGTAAGCATACTCTTAAATCCTTAGCATATTTTCGAATACACTGTGCTTTATTGTTACCACCTGCAGAATTTCAGGCTTTCTGAGACTTTCTTTTAAACTCAAAATATCCATTGAAGTGCTGTGATGTGTTTTCTGTATTTATTTTCAAATGAATGTTTAGGTTGTGAGTAATTATTTTCCTTCATGGAAAATAATTGTAAGATACAGTTAAAATTCTTTACAGAACCAGATAGTTGAGACAATAATACTGTTCCCTCCAACACAGGCACATTACCATACAAAATAAAGAAAATAAATAAATACATAAATACAAATATTTTTTAAAAGCACATGCAAGGCACATATGGGTAGTGGGGCCTTACTAGTTAAAATTCTGTGAAGTTTTTTGTGTCTGAGAAAAATGGGAAAAAATGACCTGAGAAGCTGAGCAAGAAGCATGGGTAGAACACCTAAGGACAGAATCAGAACAAGTACTGAGAACATAGTCCTGAGAAAAGCAGAGAGAAAATGCCTGAAGAAAGGGTAAATGGAAAAATGGCAAGGGTAAATGGCATTGTGAGCAAAGACACTGTCTTACAAATGATCCTTTTGTGGTTAGGAAATAGGATTTTAAACATTTTCTGTAAATAGTGAGGTTATCTCTGATCCTGTTTTATCTAATTTCTCCTCCTAACAAAAAACACAACACAATTGTCCAGGTAACACAGTTAATGCGCAATTTAACAAGTTTGTGTATATAGCTTTTCTACATATATATGTTTGTGATTGTGTAAGCAAAAACTGATTTGCAAATTAAACTGGTGGGAGAAGCTATATTTGCAATTGTAAGGCTATGTCTACACTACGAGTTTTCTCTGCAAAAAATAATCTAATGAGGGACTCATTTTGAGTCGTGATCTCATTTGCATATTTTCTGCCAATCTGTTTTTGCATTGGGGTTTTTAGCGCAAAAACAAGCCGTGTGGATGTTTTCTTTTTACACAAAAACCCCTTTTTCCTCAAGAGCCTTATGCCTCAAAAAAGGTTTAGCAATTGTGCAGAAAAAGGGGGTTTTGCGCAAAAAGAGAACGTCCATGCTGCTTGTTTTCTTGCAGAAAAAGGGGGTTTTGTGCAAAAGAAAATGTCCACACTGCTTGTTTTTGTGCAAAAACCCCAGCACAAAAACAGATTGGCAGAAATATGCAAATGAGATTGTGACTCATGCAAATGAGCCCCTCGTTCGCATATTTTTTGCCGAGAAAACTCGTAGTATAGACATAGCCTCAGGCTGTAACTAAGTATGAGAGACAGACAGACAGATCTGCAATTAAATAGTGTTCTGTTGCAGTAACATTATAATTACATTATACTTTATTACCTCACAGCTAATTCTAGCTTGGCTGGCAAAATAAGCTGTTGCTTACTTTGTGGCAAAGCTAAATGTCTTCAAGTAACTGGACTGTAGTTGGCTTTCCATAGCCAATCTCTCACCTGCCCTGTTGACACAGATCTCTGATCAAATCACTTACCAGTAATGTTCAGACTGTAGGCTCAGCTTCCCACACAATTAACAGGGAACTAGCTATGGGCCCTGCACATTTGGAAATATAGCACTAGTATTACTGACATCAGCTAGACCTTCCCTTCCCCCATCCGCTTTCAATTCTCCTTAGTCTTCCCAATCCCAATGTAATGGACAGCTCAGTGGTAATATTAATGCCCTCCCCAATATTGAGATTTCCTACTTGCTAAACAAGGAGATGGGCACTTGTCCAAATAGCACTTCTGGGCAATTAGGTTTCCCTCAGCCTGCCTTACTCCCTAATAAATTCTAAAAGGAGACCAGTTATTTAGTAAAGAGGTAGAGGACCCATCTAAAAAAGAGAAAAAAATTATTATCCACTAATGCCATTTACCAATTTAAGTAATTTTTGCATAGCTTACATTTAAAAATCACATGAGCAGGGGAAATAAAATCTTTGAAGCATTGGAGTGCCTCTATATTTTCTTCTAGAAAACAATTTGTAGCAACACAAGTACATTTGTGGGGCCAGAGAGATTGAGTAAAATAAAAGGTAGTTTCCTCTGAACAAGCCACTTCATGAATTTTTATAAAAATTCTTGTAGCTGTCAGGTTAAAGATTGCAGATGGAATCACCTTCCATTAAAGTCAATAGTTAAATTTCAATAAACTTCAACGGAAATAGGCACAGACCTTGCTTTTAACAAAAAACAAAAAACAAACAAAAAAAAAAAGCAATCACTTCAACTTGGAAAGATGCCTTTTTATTTGATCAGTAACACAGAATATTTCATTTTATAGATATACTCATCTAATGATCTTGGTACATATACATTTGTCAAGAATATCAGGGATTTGTAAACTCTGGGGGCAAAGAAAGTTATTTATTATGTGTTTGTGCAGCACTATAAGGTCCTACCAGATTGCACCCACTTGGCATATAATGCTACAAATATTAAATACTATCTGACTCTACAGTAAAGTCAAAGAGCCTGATTCAATGTCCTCTGATTCCCATTGGCTTCAATGAACTTTGGACAAAGTCCAAAATAGGCACACGGGTCATTCAAAATGTTCAGTAACTGATTGAATAGGTCAAACTGGCTGATAGGCGTAGACGATGTTCACCTAAAGCAGCATAATCTCTACTCTTGGCTCGCTCTTCCTTCTCCTTCATGTTCACTAGCTTTAAACTGTATCCCTATACAGTGAAACCTTTGCTATCCGGCACTCTGTTAACCAGAAAACTTTGTTAACTGGCATTGCCCCCAGCCACAATACTGTCACATCTTCAGGCACACAGGCCTGGCTTGGTTTACCATGATTGGCTTAACAATTTTTTATTTAAGAAGTACTAATCATCTTTAACTCAAAATAGAAACGTGAGACCAACTGCCTCACACTACAAAACTACCAATATTAAAAACTTGAGTTTTACTATTACTGTCCATTCGTTTTTCCTAGGTTGATGGGACCCTTAGATAACCGGAATTTTTAGATAACCAGAACGCCCTAATCCCTGAGTGTGCTGCATAACACAGGTTTTACTGTATATGTATCTGCTTGTTCTTATACACATGAAGTGGCATTTA